GAACAGAATGAAATTTGAGGAATACCAAACCAAATTTATTTTGTATATATTTTCTTTTCTAGGGATGCACAAGAGTGATATATACTGAAAAAAACCTGTACCTAAATAAGTTTAAAAGAACATTCAGTGAATATTAAAGAATGCTAACTGATAAGAAAGCACTGTATCAGTTTCATCGGCAACACTTTTCTCAGAGGCCTAAGATAACATCAAAATCAGTACATCTTAGACATAATGAAACACAAGTATTCATTGGTCTTGACTAAAACCTCTAATTACAGCACCAAATGTAAGTGTCCTAAAAGAATTTCACAAATTTCTCATTTTTTCTTTGAAAATTAAAAACAAAACCCATCAGGGATAGGTTTTATTAAGTTCAGTTTAATTTTTACTTTCCTAATTATGTCCACAGCATTGTTTGGTAAACATTTTGGGGATTTAAAAAAATGTTTAATTTTCTGAATGTAATATTCCAAACAAGTGACTTTCCAAGAACCCCTGAAATCACATGAGTTTTACATAGTACGAGCGTTCTGGGGGCTCTGTCTCTTGAATGGGGCAGGGGGAGCAGGAAGACTTAATGAAAGGGCGATGAAGTTGATTCCTGAGTTTAGCTATGGACATGCTGGGCATCAGAGAAACAAAGTGACTTAAGAGGTACTTATTAAGCATTTACAAAGCAAAAAAAGTGATGTGTTGGCTTTATTACTATTAAAAGAATCAAAGGTTCTACAAAATTTACAATGAAATGAAATTTACTCATAAAATAAACTAAAAAAATTGACAAAAAACAAGGTTACAAAAGCCCCACAATCCTGTACAGCTCAACATCACTCATCACAGCCAACAACCGAAAAGTCTCAAGAATTTAACTCCTGGTTTTTAAGTTAAAAAAAAAGAGGTCTTTGTAAATCACAGTATTTCATTTTATGAGTTACACTGCTGAAAACAGTGACCAGTGACCCAAATCTAGGCTGACCATACCATTTTGGTATTTTATAAATTAATATTCTTTACAGAAACTTACGGACACTGAAATCTCTCAAAAGTGTATTTATTTATGAAGGTTAAATTCACAGAGGTTTTACCAAGGCAAACTATTTTAAACCAACTGAAGTCACTACCACAACACTGCAAATACCAAAATACAACAGAAGTGTTATTACAGAATAAGGAACTCAGGATGCTGAAAATTTTAAATGTTTAAATATAGAAAAGTTTCAACTTTTACTTAGAGATAGAGGAGAGAGGAACAGTGTTGGAGCTGGAGACCGAGGCGCAAACCAGTGGCCAGTCAGGTCCCCGGACACATAGCTTGGCATTTCCCACCCAGAGAAAGGCTGGGCTGGAGGTCTGCATCTGGGGCCTTTTCCATCGATCAAATCCAGCTTTGTTCAGTGAGAGTCAGAGGACCCCAGAACATATTCCAAATTCTGTGAGTGTTCCTCTGGAAGGTTTCCAGTCCAAAGTCTTCAGGTCAAATTTTCTGGAGTTTTGTAACAATCAGCACTCTTACCATTTGATCAAATGAACTACAGATGCAGAGACCCCTCTTGTCTGGACTCCAGTCCAAACTTGAGATGGGCTGAGTGGACAATGTAACATTTTGCAGAAGGCTGACCGAGCCCGCAACTCCCATCTCTACACCCTCGGAATCTTTCTTTGACCGCTGAATCGGGTATTCACTGAAAACAAGATCGAAGCGCTGGTAAGAGGAGATACATCTGAGCATTTCTCATTTTATTTTTATACATATACTCCAGTGACTATTTGTATTTCTCACCTGCTTACTGGACTTGGTTAAGGAATCTTTCTAATGTTGAGCTGATAAGCAGACAGTGTTTCAACCTCAATCCCAACCGCCAAAAATCTCACAAAAAAGCATTAGTTCTACTAAAAAAGTTTAAACATTATTTCTATTCAGCATGAGTTGTTATTTTCTCTTTTACAATGAAAGTTCTAGGTTGATCTAGCATTCTGTAATAAATTCACTTGGTGATCTTAATCTTCTTTTATTGTGATTCTCTAGATTTGGATTGCTGGGCACCACAAGTAACCTTTTACCTTACAAGTAACATTTGTACAACCTCATCTAAACACTTCCGGACAGAGACCTGACACCGATTTCCAATCCCAGAGTTCCCTCGAGCCTAAGGACATTCTGCGTACCATTGCTATGGGAAGGCGCTGCTGGGAGGAGATTTTAGCCTTAACATCATTGCTTCAAAAAAGAAAACAGAACATCTGATTTTCTATCAGCTGAAGATATAAATTTATGAAATACAAAGAGCTGAAGGCTCTTCATAAATATCATTTGGTCTAGATTTGAGAGAGGGAAGGAAGAAATAGCCCTCCCCCATGGGGCTTGTTTCTAATGAAATACGGGGATACTGCTCCTCAGAAGACCTTTTAGAGCCTGTTAGGGATCAACTGTAACACTGCCTTTACTTCAGAAGGTATAATAAAGGCCAAGAGTTTAAGGCGCAGGAAACAACTTGGGAGCAGAGCCTACGTAATACTCAACCATGAAAAGCTGAAGCCCTTCCTCTAATTTCAGGAATAAGACAAGGATGCTCGCTCTTACCACTTCTATTTAATACAGTATTGGAAGTCCCAGCCACAGCCTTCAGACCAGAAAAAGACAGAAAAGGCATCCCAAGGGGAAGAAATGAAACTGTCACTATTTGCAGATGACAAGACAGCTTTATACAGAAAGAACCTAAAGTCTCTGCCCCAAAACTATTAGAAGGAATAAGTGAATTCAGTTGCAAGCTACAAGATTAATACACAGAAATCTGTTGCATTTTCACATACTAATAATGAACTATCAGAAATAGAAAGTAGAAAAAAAAATCCTGTTTAAAATTGCATCAGGAAGAATAAAATACCTAGGAATAAATTTAACCAAGGAAGCAAAAGGCCTATACTCTATACTTAAAAACTATAAAATACTGATAAAAGAAATTGAAGATGATATAAAAAAATGGGAAGATACTATCCCATGCTCTTGGATTGGAAGAATTAATATTGTTAAAATGGCTATATTACCTATCTACAGATTTAATGCACTCCCTATTAAAATACCCATGACATTTTGCACAGAATTAGAACAAATAATTCTAAAACTCATGTGGAATCACAAAAAAACCCTGAACTACCAAAGCAATCCTGAAGAAAAAAGAACAAAAAAGAACAAAGCTGGAGGTATCGGACTTCAGACTGTACTATAAAAGTACAATAATCAAAAAACAGTATGGTACAGGCACAAAACAGACACACGGATCAAGGGAACAGAAGACTAAGCCCAGAAATGAGTCCACATACATGTGGTCAACTTATTTATGACAAAGGAAGCAAGAATGTACAATGGGGAAGTGACAGTCTCTTCAATAAGTGGTGCTGGGAAAACTGGACAGCTACATGTGAACCAATGAGATTAAAACATTTCCTCACACCACATAGAAAAAACAAACTCAAAATGAATCAAAAACCTAAATCTAAGACCTGAAACCATAAAACTGCTGGAAGAGAACATAGGCAGAACACACTGACATAAATTGTAGCAGTATTTTTTTTTGGATCTGTCTTATAAAAGAAATAAAAGCAAAAATAAACAAAAATTTTTGGGACCTAATTAAACTTAGAAGACCTACAGATGGCTAACAGGCACATGAAAAGATATTCAACATCACTAATTATTAGAGAAATGCAAATCAAAACAACAAGATACCACTTCCTACCTGTCAGAATGGACACCATCAAAAAGTCTACAAATAATATGCATGACTGGGACATTGTGCTGTACACCAGAAATTGACACATTGTAACTGAATGTACTTTTATTAAAAAAAAAAAGTCCACAAATAAGAAATGGTGGTGAGGATGTGGAGAAAAGGGAACCCTTGTATACTACTGTTGAGAATGTAAATTGATTTAGCCACTAAAGAAAACAGTGTGGAGTTTCCTCAAAAAACTAAAAATAGAACTACTGTAGTATGATCAGCAGTTTCACTCCTGGGTATGTATCAGAAAAAATGAAAACATTAATTTGAAAAGATACATGCAACCCAGTGTTCATAGCAACACTATTTACAATAGCCAAGATACAGAAGCAACCCAAGTGTCCATCAACAGACAAAAGAATAAAGAAAATGTGATATATACACACTCACACACACCCATACACAATGGAGTATTACTGAGCTGTAAAAAAGAGGGAAATTCTGCCATTTGCAGCAATGTGGACAGACTGAGAGAGTATTTTGCTTAATGACATAAATCAGAGACAGAAAGACAAATAATGTATGATATTACTTATGTATGGAATCTAAAAAATGAAACAAACTAATGTGTAATAGCATAACAGAAATGGACTTACAGATACAGAAAATAAACTGGTGGTTACCAGAGAGAGAGAAGGTGGGCAGGGGCAAGATGGGGGGATAGGATTAAGAGATACAAACTATTATGTACAAAATAGATAAGCAACAAGGGAATTACAGAGATTATCCTATGGTAACTTTTAATGGAGTATAATCTATAAAAACACTGAATCAGAATGCTATATACTTGAAATTAATATAGTATTATAAATCAACTGTACTTCAATAAAAAATAAATTCAAAAAAGTTTTAAGAATGTATATGCGTATTTCAAACACACATCCCAAAATTAGCTTATTGTCCATTCATTCAAAACACAAAATCCCCCACAACTTCTAACTAACTAGATGAGTTCCTCTAAGAACTCTTGGTTGGGTGCTCAATAAATACTTCTCCTTTGTGGTGCAATACTTGACAGCAAAGTTCCAGCCCAATTTGTAGATTAGATATCTGTTATGGTCAGAATTAAAGTTCATATTCAGATAAACTTCAGATTTCCAACTGCACACAGACCCAACTTTACTGACAGTGACTAAATCCACTGTGGTCAAAAATCTAGCAGTGAACACATCTGCACACCACACGGGCTGCTGCTCCGGATGTGGGTTACCCAGCAAACTGGGCCTAGTTCTTCAAGTAGGCAGCCTGAAGCGTCTGGCCATCAGGCAGGGCAGTGATTAGCCGCTGCGGGGCTCAAATGAGCGGACCAGCAGAGCCGAAAGCAGCATGGAGACTGGGGTTGGAAGAACCAGGGAAGGACAGCAGGCAAAGGTGCCAGGAAAAGGGAAATTTCCCAGTGATCTACCTACCAGGCATTCTCCCAGAGCACCTCAAACCTTTCCTCTGCTTCTCACTCACAGAAACTGGGCAGTTCTGATCTAAAGCTCTCACTCGGTTTTTCTGTCCGCTATATCCTTAAATGCTTTAACGAGTACTTTCGATTGGTAGCCCTGTTTTTCAGAACCCCTACTAGCTTCTAGAAGGAGCTAATAAATAGAGAAGTAATGAGCAAATGATATTTCACAGAAGCCTTTGGTCAAAGTTTTCCTGTTTTTAAAAAAAGAAACAGCAAAAACCATGACTTCAACTCTGAAAAAAATTATTCACGAGCTCCTCTAATATATGGAAGACACCACAAAATAACAGATTTGATGTGTCAAAAGGAGGTTAATATTTATGAAGTATAAAATGAGTATATGTTAGTGCACTCATAAAGAACTTGCTTCAGTGTCATTTAAGAAGATGCTCAAATCCCAAGATATTTTTGGCTCTGTGTATTTCAAACTAAAGATTCTTTTATCAGGTTCATTTGGAAAATTACACTAAACCTTCATTCTTTGCTAGTGTAGACCTGGGTGAAAGTGTAAGAAATCAGAGTGTTCAAATTAATTTGTTCTCCCCCAAATAAAAAATTTTACGTTAAAAAATAAAAATAAAGAAATAAATAAAATGTTAGTTTTAAAAAATGCTTAGAAAGTAATACTTACGTAATGCCATGATCAAAATGAACTAAGTGGAAGGAGGGAAAACAGACTAAGAGAGTTCAATCTAGTCCTACTTGACGCCCACAAGTAACTTAAAAAGGAGCAACGCGCAGTGGGAGAGACTTACTACTTCCAGAGGTGCAGGCCGCCGGCGCCCCCGGCTGTCAGGAAAAGCTCCCTGTTCTGCGGCAGGTGCCGGACCTGCCACACGGTCGACTTGTGAGCCTGAACAGAACAAGAGGCACACAAGGCATGTGTCCGTTTTTATGATAAATACAGACTGTCCTCTAAGAATTTAGTTCACCAGGTAATGACAGTAACTTACATGCAACAATAATTATTTTAATAATAAAATAAGACAAAATCAGAAGGTCTGAGAAGTGTTGCTGACTCCATGATGGATGGAAAGGGAGCAAGGGAGTGAATTTTTATTTCCTGAGCAACTTATGTTTTAATCTTTATGGACTTATTTTTCTTTATTTTTATTTCCTTCCTTCCTTCCTCGCTCCCTCCCTCTCCCTCTCTCTCTTTATTTTAATGGAGGTACTAGGGGTTGAACCCAGGACCTCGTGCATGCTGAGCACGCGCTCCACCACTGAGCTCTTACCCAACTCCACTTTTGCTTTATTTTTATACTCAGGGAAGCTCAAAGTCACATTTCCAACCCATCTCTTGCAAATGACACGATGTTTCAGCATGAATTTTGTCCAGTCCCCTTACTCTAGACATCAATTTCATTTTCCATTTGCCCTTTCTTCATCAGTTTTTCTAATGTTGTAATACCACACATTTCCCTCTAAGCTACCTCAAATACTATTTGGAACAAGGCAACGTATGCATGTATGTATGCATGTATGTATGTACGTGTGTATGTACGTACATATGTATGTATGTATGAATGAATGAAGAAACTTCTGAGTACCTACTATGTACCAATCACAGTGCTTAGCACTTGAATCATCTCATTTAGTATATCACACTGCAGTATGAAGTAAAATGTGATAAACGACATAATGTATATATAGATATATTTGTATATAATTAACATTATGCTAATTAGGTATTAATACAAATATTATAAATTCCTAGGAAACACTAGGCTAGGTTTTGCTGCTTAAATTCCTAAATCAGCTCGTTTTCTTGTGATCGCGTCTACACTTCAAAGTAAGTGTCAGAGCCAACTGAGGCCTTTATTAGTGTCAAAAAGTCTAAAACTGATCAATGTTGGGGAAGTACTCTTTGCACAGAAAAACTTGTCAAGATCCTACAAGAATATATTAAAAATAGCTCCCTGCATGTAAAAACCTGGCAGGAACTTGGTGACTCATCCTATTTATTAGTCCAAAACAAGCTGTGAACACTGTGCTTCATAGAAGGGCGTTTGCCTCATGTTTACCTTTTCTGAAACAGAAGCGAAGCCTTTGGTTGGGTGCTGTGTTCTCATGTCAAAAACGTGAAACTTTCCTTCCAGGGACGTAGCCACTAACTTATTCATGCTTATGTCTTTTCTGTCAAACTCCAAGCTACATACCTGAAAACAGAGAATAGGTCTGATGATTATTATTCAAGAGGTTTTTTCAAACTAAGTAGAACCACCTTAAAATTATCAGCTCATGTGAAAGCATTTTAAAAAAAATAATTTTATCTTTCAAATCAATACATCAAATATTTTTAATGGTAAAAATTTCTTCTTGGTTAATAAGATCCACAAAACCATCTAGAGTTCCCCGATCCAGTAAATGCATCTGGAAAGTCATAATTTAACTTTTTACTGTTATTATGTCATTATTTTATAAAGTTAAGTCAAGGCTGACTTTAGAAAGCAGGAGGAGATCACATTCTTCACTAAAGGGGTGCAACTCAGGAACTAAAAATCCGAAAGTATCTGGGAGCCTATTACAATTTCAGGCTTTCTAATATTAGCAGAAACAGACCTCTTGCTAGCTCATTCCACTAGCACACTGTGTGGCCCGGAGGGGTCCGCGGCTGGGCCACAGGCTGGTGACTCACCGGGCACTGTCACACCACATCTGAGTGTGTATTCCTTTTCTGAAGAGAGGACCCCCGATTTTTATTACATCCTCAAAGGACTTCAGGCCCAAAAGGTTAAGAACTACCGACTGAGGGGTTTCACTGAGGTGAGTTATGAGAGGCGCTTTCCTTTTGTAGTAGGTCAGAGGTAGATGGAAAATACATTCAGAGAAACTCAAAAGAATCCAATCGTACATTACCCCATTTTTTATGTTTGTCTCCCACCGCAATGACATACTTCTGAGATCAAACAGTTTGATATCTCCGTTGTCATAGCCAGCGCAGACAACACGTTCCTCCTGATTATAAGCATTGCCTGGAAACCAACACACAACATTTCAGATCTTTATAAATGCTGATTCGAAGGCTGCAAGAAAAAACTTACCAAACGTGTAACTTGTACTAAGCAGATGAAGAAATCACACTGGGGAGAATCTCTTTTTGCCAATCCCAACAGGACATCGGGGTCACTGATTTGGTATCTAAGGCTGTTTAAAAGCAAAAGCCCATTAGCTGAGATTCTACACTCAAGGGATATGTCAAAGTGTGTATTGTATTTTAAGTTGAAAGCAAGTAGTCTCTCTGTACTGTATCTGCAAAGACTAACAGGCCAACTACAGTTCAAACACAGCAGGGTCTGGCTGAATAAATACCACCTATGCTTCCATAGCTCTGCTTGGCGGTAGCTATACTGAATGCAAACAGAAACCACTTTAAATGTATTTATTTTGCAAAATATTATCTCATCTTTGCAAGGAAACCTCAGATAAGTTGGAGCGCACTGTGATACGTTTTTATCTGTGTGGATGATCACACCCAAAGTAAATCTGTAATGCACGGTTAAATGCGTCCTGCACAGATCCAAGGATTTTTTTCCAGAGTACGTCTTATTGAGGAAAATGTGAACTGAGAAGGAAGCCCCTGTAACTGTGCCACGTGATGTGGGCATCTTACCCAACACCTTTCTTCTCTGCTGCCTGCAACTCCCTCTTTCTTATAAACTCCAGCCCTGCGTTTCCACTGTAGGTCCACCAAGATGGCACAACAGCATCTGAAACCCATGATGTCTAAAACTACTCACCATCTTCCTTTACAAACCATCGTATTCTCTGTGGCACTTTTTCAATTAATAACATCACTCACCTCACAATCAGCCTCAAAATTCAGCCCCCTTAGACCTAATCCTTTCCCTTGTTCCTCATCCTTGCCACGGTGCACTTATTTTGCCGCAGAATTATCTTCTGAATCGGACTCTCCTGCCCTGCCCTGGCTGTATTCTCATTGCTTCTGACCTCTGTTTCCTGGGATACTGCAAAGAGCTCTGGAATCGTGTTCCCCGTGCCGCTCATCTCTCCCCCTCCACAATACCAGTCTAGTTTTCCTAAAGCTCTCATCATACCTCATCCTTGCAAAAGCCTGCAAAGGTTTACCACTACCGGCAGCCTATGTAAACACCTCTGGCCGGGACCCTGCGCCATCTTTCAGGATATTCCGACCACCATTTCTTCTACACACTTTCCTCCCAATGCTTGAACTCTCCTTCAATCTCAGTGGTTGAAATCCTATACACCCTTGGTCTGAGGTCAGTGTGTTCTTCCTCTCCAGTCATCTCTCCCTCGGAATTCCTTCTCCACTTACCATCCTCTGTGGTCTTTTATCACTCCCACCTTGTACTGTAACTAATGTAGACAACATGTCCCCTTTATTAAAACTTCTTTTTTTTGGTGGGGGGGGTTATTTATTTATTTATTATTTTATAATGGAGGCACTGGGGGTTGAACCCAGGACCTCGTGCATGCTAAGCACACACTCTACCACTGAGCTATACCCTCCCGACCAAAACCACAAGCTGCTTGAGGCTAGAATATGTCTGTTTCACCTTTGTTAATGACCACAGCTATGCACATACTTATCATTTATTAAAAAAAAAAACAAAACTGTCAAATCAATGGATAAATGTCTTTTCTTTAAATTTAATGTCCTATATTTAAAATTGCACTTATGTTCCTTAGATCAATGATAAAAAGCCTTTAATGGACCCAAAGTTAAGTACTTTTTAATTATTATATAAATGTTTAGATGATGATTCTAAACACTAATTCTAAAATTTCTCCCCAAGTGTGCATGTCTTAAGTTTATATTATTGCTTATAATCTGCACACACATAATTCCTGGACAGTAATTAATTAATTAATTTGGGTGGGAGAAGTAATGGGGTTTATTTATTTATTTTTATTGACCCCAGTACGTTGTGTATGCTAAGCATGTGCTCAACCGCTGAGCTATACTCCCCCACTTATTGTTAAAATTAGAAATCTAAAATTTTCCTCTGATTAAATAACAATCCAATTTAAAAATAACATAAGAAGCTAAACAGTTCACTTACATTGTTAAATCCTATTTTTAATGTCTGTTATCTACACTGGGATATACTAAGAAAAAGGGAAAAAAAGAAAGATTTAAAAAGAAATATGGCCCATCTCTTTTATTACCAAAAATAATTATAATTTTGGTGCTCAACAAGTGATACAAGGGCAAGCATCAATTAGTCCTACAAGATCAATATTCATTTTAAGTTATCAAATTTGTAAGAATTTTGTAACGGTATAACTATTTTCTAGAAAATAAACATACTCTGGGTAGAGTACAGTGTGAGGTTTGTCAGGGTACCATTTGCATCTGAGGCTCTATTTAGTTTCACTAATGGCACTTGGTTCTAAACTAGGTCAATATTATCAGGTTAAGCAGAAGTACGTAATAGCAAATAGTTTTGAGCACTTAATATCTAAGCACAATTCTAGGCACTTTACAAGTATTGACTGAATCCTCATAACAACACTATTGAGTACATTCTAGTATTCCTTCCATTTTATAAATGAAGCAACCAAAAAACAGAGAAGCTGGGTAACTTGCCCAAGGTCACACAGCCAGTAAGTAGCACAGTGAGGATTCAAACCCAAGCCCCAGAGGCTGCCATGAATCATCAAGTCTATTTGCCTCAAAAACTGTCAGCATAACCCACAGAACAGATCACAAAGACCTAACTGGACTTTCTTGAAGACCTGCGCTTTCTACAATCTGATACTTCAAATGCAAGAGTTGTTCGGTAATTTACCAAATGCCACGGTCCAGCAGTCTCTCCTGTTTTCTCCTTGTACTGGTTCCATATTAGCAACAGGATCATCTTTTTGCCTCGGGTCCCACACCTTCACGGTTCCTGACAGGAACAAGAGTGAGTTGGCAAAATTCAATAGTGAGTGATGACATTTCTTTCCTGCATTCTCTTCATACGGCTTTCTATGTACATGGAGATATTACAGATGTTCTATCTGAAAAATATTTGCATGTCTCTGACTTCTAATTGGGCAAGTTGTACTTAATATCAGAGATAGAACCCATGTTACTGTCCGACATGACTTCCAAATTAATCGGTACACTTAAAAGCCAACACCTGTTCCCAAGTCACGACAAGGTATGCTGGACAAGGCAAACACGAATGTTATGGGATTCAAATTGTGCCTTATTTTCTTGGCTTAAGCCTAAAACCAATGTACTATTTATTTAGAATAAATATTTAGAATAAATAAATAGTGCCATTTTAATGTTTTTTCCTTTCTACCCATATAATCATTGGCATTTTTCTTTTACAGATGAATAATTTTAACACCTATGATTTATTATATGGGGTTCAGAATACCATTTCATATACTATTAAGTTTAACTTTCCCATGGCACTAGAGAAGAGGGAAAGATTTAATAAAAGTAATAAATAATTCTTCTCAATTTAATTTCAATGCCCTCATTTTTAATGCAAATTACAGAACTACTAACTAGTGTCACTGACTCTTGAGAAACACAAAGACATGGAATAAAATGGCTAAAAAGCAAGTACCTAAGAGAGAATAGGGAAAGGGTACAAAAATCCTTAAAAAGGATAATAAATGCAGGAAATGAGGAGATGAGATATTCCACTAGGTTTATTGCCAAGGATAAAATAAAACTGGTCATTAAAATGGCCGCTTCAAGGAGAAATAAATTTCCTACAAATGTGACAAGAGTTATTATATTATCCAACAGGGTTCATACAAATTAACATTCATGTTAAGTTTGTAATAGTTAAATGAGCCAAGAACATAAACAGACAATTCACAAAGCAAAATTAACTAGTAAATATAGAAACACAAATTGGAACAGAATATTATTTTTATCTATAAAATTAGCGGGGCGGGGGGAAGGAATGAAAGCTGGTAGGGTAGACTGGAAATCCACCTCATCTACTGTAGCTTGTAAGGTAAATAGGTACTTTGGAAAGTTTGACAACTTTTTTAAATGATAAAGGATGGTTATTCCAAAAAAAGTTCCATACGTGATGATACTTACTTCTTCATTATTTTTAAGTCACTCTCCCAAAATAATAAACAAAAACTGAAGGCTTATTAACAGAGGCATGGTTAGAGACACTGTGAGACATCCATGGGGTGGAATATTATACAGTAATTTAAATGGTAATTATGAAAACCACACAGAAACAGCAGTGTTTACACACAGCGAAACATTAAAGGAAAAAGTTAGGAAACAAAATCATGTTAACACTGATAACACATGTCAAATTGTATCTAAGCTTGGAAAGGAAAACAAACCTAACAGACATGCTGGTGTGGTAGACGGAGTGTTATTTTTCCTTCTATATTCCATATTGTTTTTACGATTGGAAAAAATGTTTGATTTCCAAAACACAGCTGCTCTTGACTAATTAAAATTAAATCCCACTTTTCTTTTAAAACAATTCCCACATGGTTTTGAGCGGCCATTAAAAAACTAGGCAAACCATTAATAGGTTCCAGATCACTTATGCATCCCCTGCGAAGCAACAAAAATTCTGACTCTGCTACAGTCATTCCGAACAGCGACTGGACACCAAAGACCTGTCCTTTGTTAATTACTGTCGTCGGGAAAGGCAAAATTGGTGATCTTGGAACATCGTGCACATTTCTCAGCGGAAAGACCACAGAACTTCACTGTTCAACCAGCTGCCAATAAGATAATTTTCTCAAGTACTCATTCTGCTTTTTAAAAAAAGAAAATGAAAGCTGCCACCTACATGATATCATCAGCTGTCTCAAAAACCTGTAGAGAAACTTTAAATCCTCAAGGTTCACAGGAAACTATGGCTGTTAATAGTTGACCCAGCTCAAAATAAAAGCAGTAAGTGCTACGCCTCTAGCTCGAAATACCCCAAAGTCTGATGCGGTTGAGGGACATGCAGTCAAGCATACCTGTCAAAAAGCCAGAATGTTAGGTTTCGGGGAGCAAGCACTGAGGAAGATTTCCACATAGAGAGAAAACACTGTTGCACAGAAACTTAATCTAAAAAAAATTCAAAATACACGGAATATTCTGACTCACCATCTCGGCTGCCAGTCACAATTTCAGGTGCTCCTTCCCCGATTCCCAGTCCACCTACACCATCTATAGTATTTATAATTTCCTTATGGCCCTTTACAGAATAGACTGGGATCTCTGGAGCTTCCAAATTCCTAAACAACAGAACAGTTTCTTACTTACACGTGTCCCAAGTGATTAGTACGCAACTCAAATTTAAGAATGCGTGGCATATGGAGATTTTTGTTTACAAATAAGGGTTCTGCAACTAAGGTCATTTATACGTTTACTTCCAAACTTTCCTCTCCATGGACTTTAGCTTCTTTCAGCCCCCAACGAGAGCTGTCATCATTCAACTTGGAGTTCTAACTCCTGAGCCCACTTCACTCAGTGGGCCTCAAAGAGGACCGATTACCTGGGGCCTCCGCACGTGATCAGCAGGGGCGCTTGTCAGTGAGCGCAGGTTCAGGGGCTCCTCCCCAGACATAATGCCTACGTGTCTCCGGGATGGGGCCCCAAGCCTGCTGACTCTGGCCCACTGAGGTCTGGTAGTCACTGCTTTAGGCAGAGAGCAAGTTCAAAGTGATGTGGAACATTCCCAAAGTCAGCCTTGGCAGTTTGATCTTGGCATCTTTTGAGGGATAAAATATGAGTAGTGTTTGCTCTGTATACAATTCTTCCTTAATAACGTATTATTTTCTCACTGAACTCCAGACTAATTTTCATCCAGTTACTTTTTTTTAGTTTATCCTCATGCTGGACACAATAAATGTTTAACAGTCAAACTGGCTGAAGTTTGTCTAATTCTAGGTCAGTTACATGAAGGGAATGCAGGAAATACCGACTCCTGTGTGTGGCTGTGTGAATGGCTCAGGTAGGTTATGCTAATAAATGCTTTTCTTTCCTCCCTTCATCCTCTCCCACCCCCTTTGGCTTTTCTGTTGGAGCCTCTATCCACATTTCTCTTTAACAAGTCAGTTTTTAATAACTTACACTTTCTCTTCTTAATGAATGTACTTCTTTATGACATGTGATCCCAATTTATTGCTGGGCCCAGATTTATTAGTAAAATCTCTCAAACCAAAATTTGAGAAATTCACCCTAGCTTAGAGATGATGTTTATCTTTGCAGTATAATTGTGAAAGCATCAAGAGACTAAACAGGACTGAGGTTCTACTTAAAATAACTATTTGACTGTTGTCACAGACTTTGAAATATCACTTCTTTTAATGTGAAATTGTAAGACTTACCAATGAAAATAAGACAGTAACACCTGTGCTGTACTGGGAAGCTCTATTAGGAAAATAGTCAACAGTTTGTATTTGTTGCATATTCTTGGGCTGAAATATATTTGTTTTTAAAAAATAACATTCAGACTTGTCTCTCTCCCAAGGTCTTTGAAAGTGTGTGACATAGCAGGGTAAAAACTAACGCATCTAATATAAATGCTAAACTGATAATCAAGCAGTTAAAGCAAGGTGGACTAAAAGCTTCATTCTGTGTTATACTGTGCTTCTAAGACAGGTAAGTCTATCGAAGTCACTTAATTACAAAGCAGCAGATTCTAAGTGAGACTCAAGAAAGGTCACAATAGAAGACATGAGCTAGGGAAGACAGTTCCTCTAGACCATTACTGTTTACTTTAAATGATTAAGAGATATTCTTGAAAAGTAATTAGAGAGGAATTTCAATTCATTCAACTCTTTAAATATGAAAAAATAACTCTAGGTAAAACAAGAAAATTAAAGGCACTGGGCACAGTTGTGATTTTGCTCATTCAAAACAGGTTTTTTTTTTTAAACTTACTTTTGTCTTTTTTAACAAAATTATTTATTTAGTTTGTTTATCTTGATTCACTCAACATATGTGTTCCTAAAAAGTTGTGCTCAGATGTTAAAGCATTTTTTTAAAATTAATGAATTGGAAGTTCTATGTTAAAAATTAAAACAGTGTGTCATTCTGTAATGCCAAACTTCTTCTTGAAATGTAAACAATATCTAATTTTTCAGTGTTATACATGAGCATTTTTATATATTGTATCTTCTAAGGTGGAGAATAGCCCTTTATTTACAAGTATGTGTATTAAATGCTAGCCCCAAACAGCACTGTGGAAATAAATATTGGTAACATTACCCAAAATATCTAAAGAAAAATAGGTTAGTATTTTCAAATGGGTTTTGAGCATGAAGTCAGAAATATACATTAAAAAATAATTGTCACATTCTTACAAATAGTTTAAATTTAACAGGGAAAGAAACATTTTAAAATTAGAATTCTTTCAGAGGAAGTGTAACAAGAGTGATAATCTAAGAAACTGCTTATTTCGTGTCTTATTGCTGATAAAATAACCTTACCATATATGAAGGTTTCCAGCAAAATCTCCAGTAGCTAAGTATCTCTGCTGTAAAGATGTTGCACCAAATGTTCCACATTTAATGGGTTTGGCTTTTTCGATCTTGATGCAAGGGAGGGAAGAGAGGGTATGTTATTTATGTAAGCAGCTATTTATAAGCCATGATATTCTAGATTTCCATATTCTATCGCTCTATTTTGGAAATTAAATAAGGCACACAATAAAAAAGGCAATTAAAATGTTCTCTGATAAAAATTATTATGCTTTTCCTTTAGTCATTTTTGTATTGTTTGAAAGTACAGGCAGACCTCAGAGATATCTGTAAGTTCGGTTCCAGACTACCACAACAAAGCAAGTATTACAATAAAGTGAGTCACATGAATTTTTGGGTTTCTCAGTGCATCTAAAAGTTATGTCTACATATACTGTAGTCTGTTTAATGTGCAACAGCGTTATGTCTAAAAAAATGTACAGACCGTAATTAAAAATACTTTATTGCTAAAAAAGCTGACCACCATCTAACCGTTCTGCGAGTAGTTCTCTCTCTGCTGTTGGAGGGTCTCGCCTCGATGCTGATGGCTGCTGACTCATCAGGGTGGTGGCTGCTGAAGACTGGGGTGGCTGCAGCAACTTCTTAAAATAAGACAACGGTGCAGTTTGCTAGTTTGCCTGACTCTTCCTTCCACAAACAATTTCTCTGTAGCGTGCGGTGCTGTTAGAATTTTACCCACAGAGGAATTTCTTTCAAAATCGGAGTCCATCCTTTGGAAACCTGCCGCTGCTTTATCAACCAAGTTTATGTCATGCTCTAAATGCCTTACTGTCATTTTCAACAATCTTCACGGCACCTTCACCAGGAGCAGATTCTACCTCAAGAAGCCACTTTGCTTGCTCATCCGTAAGAAGCAGCTCCTCATCCGTTTTCTCAAGAGATGGCAGCAGTTCAGTCACATCTTCAGGCTCCACTTCTAATTCTGGTTCTCCTGGTATTTATACCACATCTGCAGTTACTTCCTCCACTGAAGTCCTGAACCCCTCAAAGTCATTCATGAGGACTGGAATTAACTTCTTCCATGTTGATATTTTGACCCCTTCCCATGAGTTATGAATGCCCTTAATGGCATCTAGAAGGGTGAATCCTTTCCAGAAGGTTTTCAATTGACTCTGCCCAGATCCATCAGAAGAACCACTATTTGTGGCAGCTATAGCCATACAAAACGTGTTTCTTAAGTCATGATAGTCGAAATTATTCCTTGATCAGTGGGCTGCAGAATGGATGCTGTGTTAGCAGGCATGAGACCATGAATATCCGTGTCCATTTCCATCAGAGCTCTGGGCGACCAGGTGCACTGCCAATGAGCAGGAGTCCTCTGAAAGCCACTTTCTTCCTGAGTGGTAGGTCTCAACAGTGGGCTTAAAATATTCAGTAAACCATGTTATAAACAGACGTGCTGTTTGCTTTGTTGTTCCATTGATAGAGCACAGCCAGAATAGATTTCACATATTTCTTAAGGGCCCTAGGATTGTTGGAATGGTCTACAAGCATTGGCTTTGATTAAAATTAAAGCCACCAGTTGCATTACACCCAGAGAGGCAGCCTGTCCTTTGAAGCTTGGAAGCCAGGCACTGACTTCCCCTCTCCAGCTATGAAAGTCTTGGATGGCGTCTTCTTCCACAGAAGGCTGTTTGTTTCATCTACAATGAAAATCTGTTGTTGAGTGTGGCCACCTTCATCCGTGCTCTTAGCTGGAGCTGGAGAACTTGTCGCAGCGTCCACACCAGCACCTCTGCTTTCCTTGCAGTTTGATGTTATGGAAACAGCCTCTTTCCTGAAACCGCATACACCAACCCAAGCTAGCTTCAGACTTGCCCTCTGCAGCTTCCTCGCCTTCAGAGAACTGAACAGAGTTAGTGCTTTCCTGTGGATCAGGCTTTGGCTTAAGGGAATGCTGTGGCTGGCTTGATCTTCTATCCAGACCACTAAAACTTTATTTGTATCAGTAATAAGGCTGTCTCACTTTCTTACCATTTGTGTGTTCACTGGAACAGCACTTTTAATTTCCTTCAAGAACTCCTTTGCACTCACAGCTTGGCTAACTGTTTGGTACAAGAGGCCTAGCTTTTGGCCTAGCTCAGCTCTCAACGCGCCTTCCTCCCTAAGCTTCAGTATTCCTAGTTTTTGATTTGAAGTGAGAGACATGTTTTACTTGAACACTTAAGAGACCATTACAGGGCTAATTTAGACACTGTTGTGTCTCAGGGAATGTGGAGGCCCGAGGACAGGGAGAGAGATGGGGAAAGGGACTGGGCAGTGGAGCAAACAGAACACGTTCAACACTTACTAATTAAGTTTTCAATCTTATCCGGGCATGGCTTGTGGCGCTCCCAAACAATTACAAGAGTAACATCAAAGATCACTGATCACAGATCACCATAACAACTACAGCAATAATGAAAAAGTCTGAAACAGTGCAAAAGGTCAATGGTACAGGCCTGAATCAAGCCTACTTTCTGACTTGGGTCCTTTGGTTTTTACCCCCATTCATGTCTTTACAAGATGTAAATCCATGGTGTTTATGCTTCACTCACGTTCTTTTCTCCTTCTATCAAAGAAACAGATTTATAGGTACTAGTGATCAAATTAAACTCAAAATGTGTAAAATGTATTGAAAAACAAACTCAAATGCATAAACAGCTTGTTATCTGCACCTCAGCTAGGGTTGCACTTTGCTCAGAAGGGCTGAGCTGTGCTAAATGGACTTTAAAAAGCAGAGGTATTTGCGCTTCCCTTAGACAGTCATTGAAGTCACAGTAGTAGCTAAATTGAGAGAGGCCGCTGGAGTGAAGCTAATTTTTTATAGTTGATAAAAGGGCTCCCTCCCTGCCTGTTAAATGCTTTACCTTGGGAAAAGAAAAGATGAAAAGAATTCAGCGGACACTTAAAATTTTTCTTGATAGAAAACTGATTGGTTAGAAAAAATAATAATAAAGATCTATTTTGCAAAATTTGTTCCACAAAGAAAATCAGTATATATTAGGTAATTTCGGCTGTGTGGTACTGAAGATGACCATCAGTGATGGGCAGATTTGACCTAGCTCTTGGTTCTCTTTGCCATGCTGAGTCAGCGTGATAAAGGAAGCCCATGACGGATAATTCCCAGGGAGCTATTTCTGTTCTGCCTGTGGGTGGGTCTAGTACAGCTTGTCAGTATCTCCTCCTCCACATCCTGGCACTACTTAATTAACACTAAAGGTTTAGTCAACCAAATGCTAACAAGCGGCGAATTCAGCGAGACAGAGGCTGAAAAAGCAGAACTTTATTAGCTTACTACTAATTTTTTAAAGTGTAGACATCCCCAGTTGTGATTCCACTTTTCAGGGCCACCCGTAGTCCTTTGGGCCAATTAGAAAAAAACGGTGCCCTCTAGAGGCTGATGGAAGTCTCACACCTGCAGGGCCTAAAGAGAAAGACGGATTTCAGCTCCCACCCGAACCCTTGGCCAGACCCCTGTGTGCAGCATAACAAACTGCTCAACTGTATACCAAGGCCCTGCCCCCATCCCATGTCTATCCCTTTGTAACAAGATAAGGAGGCATCAACGAAGACCCATTTGCTTTCTTCCTTTTTATCCTGGATGCACGGGCTCTGGAGCACATGACTTGAGGTAGTTCCACGAGGATATAATCAAGTAGATTTCATCATATTTTAATAAGTAATTCATCCAGCCCAATGGTAGTCAATCCTAGTCCTCATCAGAATCGCCTGGTGGAAGTTTGAAAAATACTGATGTCCAGGTTTCACTCTAGTTTAGAAGCAAGAGCCCCAGTCTTCAGAATTTCTTGGGGTGGGACAAAGGCATGAATATTTTAAAACACACACACACACACACACACACACACACAACAGCAACCATACACACTCAGGTGACCCTGATGCACAGTAAGAGTTGAGAATCACTGAGATTGTACTTAATCTATATTCTTTCCCATTGCATCATCCCAGCCAAATACAATGCAAGCTCTTAAATTTGTGCATTTGTTTTATCCTCTCTCCAGACAGTAGGCTCTTTAGGAGGAGGGACTCATCGTTCAAATATCTTTGGTCCTTCTTTAGCATAGTACCTTGAAATAACAGGTTCTCAACAGACAGTTTATGGTAGAAAAAGAGAAGAGCCAAAAGATACAGGTGAAAGTACACAAAGTGGTTACTCCTACGGTTGAGATTATGGGTGATGCTAATTTTCTTCTCTTTCCTATCTATATTTTTGGTATGTTCTATCATGAACACACATTACTTTTGTTAAAAAGCAAAATTATTAAAAAAAAACAAAAAAACCCTCCTAGACTCCTCCAGAATCTCTAAAAGAGACAAAGAGCACTATTTCTCATTACAGAACAAGTGTACTCCTGAAATGTACACAAGTCATGTAGCCGTATATAAAGAAAACTCACAAGTCTTTAGAAGCTCTGGTTGAGCTTTGATTGGTATTCATTCCAAATGCTTCATCTTTAAGTTTCTTTGCACAATTCGAGTGTTTCTTATTGGTTCAAACTCCTGACCCCAATCAACTAATGATCAATAAAGCAGTATTTCAAAGTTCCAAGTTATATCCTTTCGCAGACATGAATTTACTCATTTAACAAGTAGTTTATTGAGCAGCTGCTCCTTACCCCTCTAAAGAAAGACATGCCTTTACTCTCCAGGAGCTCATGATCTAATTAGAGATACATGGGACAGAATGATATATTTATGACACAGTAAGTATCACAGGAATGCAACATAAAGAGAAGTTACCTTGTGTAGGGATCAGGATGGGACATCATTAATCAAATATTCTGAACTGGACCTTAGAATACAAACAAGTGACTCGGGGCTCAGTGATGAGCAACACAAAGAAAGGTAGAAAAGAACAAGCCATGTTTAGGAGTAAAGAAGACAAACTGAACAAGAAAACTGGCATTTATAAAATTTAAAGTGGGATGGGGTTTGACTTTCCTTCTCATTTAAGCTTTCCTATCGAAATTGTATTCATCCTTTACCTACCAGTTTAACTCCTAACTGCTCCAAGCAGATTCTCTCCATAGCTTTTGGTCCCTGGAATTACAGACGTCCCTGTAGTCTATTACAACTCTAAACCTCTGAGTATGAAGGATCGTTCTTTTTCAAAAGGCAACACAAATCAAGGCATTTAAAAAACTGTACCCAGGCATAAAAATGTTAGTTAATGTTGTTATTCTCCAATTCGTTCCTTAGTATCTTTACAAAATTTGTAAATCTGATCTTGCCACATCCCAGTTAAAACCCTTCATTAACGTCCCATTTTTCTTAGGAAAAAAAAAAGACATAACTCTTTTAAATGACCTATAGATCTTGCAACGTCTGGTCCCTGTTTACTACTCTTTTTGTTTCTAAAGGAAATAACCTCTCTCCCATCGCTAAGCTTCCACCTATGCTGTTTCCTCTAGAAATGTCAACTCCTAGTTTGGCCTAAGTTAGCTTCTACTCACCCCCAAATCTGGTTTTGTTTTGTTTTACTCTCATAGAACCGTGTTCCTTTATGTTAGAAAATTCATCTCAGTTTGTATTTACGTATCATTGGTTTGATTATTTAACTGATTCCCTCTCCCACTAGAAAAAAAACTCCATGATACGGGGGACATTGTTATTTACATGCATGAGAATACCAGGCAATAAACTGATACTCGTTGAAAGAACAGATGTGTTAGTTGTCTCCTCCAATTACACTGCAGGCATCCTGGTGCCTGCTTTGGCTCTGTTTGTACGAAAAAGCATTTTACTAACTTGTGCCTGTTAAAACAACCGCGCACTGTCCAGAAGGGCCTCGAATTCATACACACAGCCGTAGCGTCACTTCCAGAGACCTTGCGCTGGACAGCGAGGGTGGCTGGCGGTAGCTAGAGGAAGGGACTTCAGGGCGTGGATGAACAAGCCCGTCGACAATTCAGGACTCGGGCCAAAGCGTTTTACATCGGAAGTTTTCCTCAATCTGCGAACCGCTTCGCTACTCCCGCCCAGCTCGAGCTGTGCTATGGCGAGACGCTGGACGAAGGCGTCGGCAAAAAGAAATGCCGACACCCTCCCGCCCCGGATCCTCACTCGCCCCAGACGGCAGTCCCAGGCCTTGGAACTGGGCAGTGTCGACCCGGCACCCACCTCCCGAAGCAGCTTTAGGTCCCCGTGCTGGATCTCGTACAGCTGAATGACGCCGGTGCCCCGGGCGAAGTTGCCCATGGTCACAAATTTGGCGCTGCAGGGCACCCACTTACAGTCAAACACCGTGTAGTTGAGGCCTTTCTGGATATGGGCGATGATCTGAGGCTTCTCGAAGGCCGACATGGTCCAGTTGACTGATTTCGCTTCTTCTAAGGGGCACACCCTTTCCCTAACAAAACGCTAACCTGGAAACCACGGACACCGAACAGTAAAGACAGTTTGTCCCTCCCGCTTGCCGTACGCGCCCTCTGACGCCCTAGCGAGTGGGCTTTAGGTGTCTCCGATAGTGCCAGATGCGCTACTGACGGCACACAAGATTTTTCTTCATCGACGGCACAAATTTGTTTATCGCCTTTACTATTGCCTTTCGTACATACACAGATTAGAGATTACAGAACGTTTTGGCTGCGAAGGGGCCGGAGGGAGCCTGTAAGAATCAGGCACATTTGAGGACAGCCTATCTCCCTCCCCGACAAACACACAAAATCCGGCTTCAGGCCCCCTGCGTGGGACGTCTTAGGAAAAAAGGCGGAGCCCTGGGGCTGGTTGGCAAAGGCTGGGTCCTGCGGGGTGCGCCTGCGTAGTGCAGCCCCGCACGTGTTCCAGACGGAAGCCTGTGCAGGGGCCGAAGATTCCTGAGGATGGAAACCGAGATGGAGTCACAGAGCCCTTTGGCCGAGGACGGCTTTACCGAGGTCACCCGCAAAGGTGGTCGGCGGGCGAAGAAACGGCAGGCCGAGCAGCTGTCCACGCCTGGGGAGGGCGGGGACGCGGGCCGCATGGACACCGAGGAGGCCCGGCCGGCGAAGAGGCCCGTCTTCCCGCCCCTCTCCGGGGATGGATTCTTGGTACTGGCGGGGACGGAGGGACAGGAACCGGGCAGGGGCGAGAGGCAGGTCAAGCCGGTGGCCTCTGGGTGATGTTGAAGCTCCTGGCGTGAAGCTCTTAGAGCCTGACTCTCTTGAAGTTTAATTCGTTCAGTTAAAGCAGACTTTTTGTGGATCAGCTGTCATTGTACATCTCCACCCCCACCCCTCACCCCCATCCCTCCAGACCACTCCTGAGTTGTGTTTTGTTTTATTGTAGGGTGGGAAAGAAGAAACCAGGAAAATTCCAGTCCCAGCTAACAGATACACACCGTTAAAAGAGAACTGGATGAAGATATTTACTCCTATTGTAGAACATTTGGGACTTCAGATACGCTTTAACTTGAAATCTAGGAATGTAGAAATCAGGGTAAGGAGAATGTTAACCATTTTCAAATATGCTGCGGTTTCTCTCTCCTCCAGAGATGAAAAGGCATAAATAGGCTTTCTTTAATAGGCCTTATTTTGTTCAATGATTTTCTTGCAGCTTTTTAATAATAATGTTTGAACCTCTCAAATGCCTTCAAAATCTGCATTCAATTTCGATATTAGTTGAATTCATAAGTTGGGCCTGAGGGTGTACCACAGTACTGGCTTTATCTGTGAATGTTTTAATAATATTCTGTGTTGTCTGAGAAAAGTTTTAATAAAGGGTTTGTCATAAACGGAAGTATGTAAATAAGCAGAGTATTTTCTACCATACAGACATTTTATACTTTGATGGGTTTTTTTTTGAGGGAGGGAGTATTATTTTGAGAATAAATTTAATTTATATATAAATATATTTATATATTTATTCATTCCATGATGTCAGCCTAAGAGTTAGGCAATTAAAATTAGTTGACTTTGGGTTTCTTTTTCTGGGTGCCAAGTTTGTATCAGAATCGATAACCAAAATAATTATAGCTTCCTTTTTAAGGATTCATTACCATGACTGGTATAAACTCATCTCTGCTGAAAGACTGGAATGATGGAATAAAGCAGAGAGAGGCACTGGCCTAAATAGTTGGTGAGGTTTAAAACACAGAACTTGACAGTAGGACCCCTTTTGGTTCCTACTGCCCCTCTCACTCAGGTTTTTGTGGTTTAGTGCTAAAACATCTTTTTTTCATTTTAAGTTTCCTTTCCTTTGTTATTTTAAATTTCCTTTCAGGACTCCATCCTCTGTGCCAGAGCCAGATTAATCTTCCTAGACCACACTGCTTTTATTATGATATCTTGGTATCTTCATCTCTGAAAGATGAAAGTTAAGGTTTTGACTGAGTTTGCCTTTGAAGCAGGTGTCTCATTCCCAAGTTCTCTCACCATCTCTTAGAACATTTATTTATGTCCCTACTTACGAACTGATTTGCTCTCTGAAGAAGGCCCCCTCCTCCCTGCTCCCTTTTCCTTCCTATCTCAATTTCATCATCTTTCAGGGCCTATTTCAAGTTCTTTTTTTTTTTAACTGAAGTATAGTCGGTTTACAATGTTATGTTAATTTCTGGTGTACAGCATAGTGATTTAGTCGTACATATATATATGTTCTTCTTTGTATTCTTTTTCATTATAGGCTATTATAAGATATTGAATATAGTTCCCTGTGCTATACAGTAGGACCTTGCAGTTTATCTATTTTATGTATAGTAGTATCTGCAAATCCCAAACTCCCAATTTATCTCTACCCCCAAGTTCCCTCCCAATAACCATGAATTTGTTTTCTATGTCTGTGAGTCTGTTTTGTTTTGTAAATAAGTCCATTTGTGTCATTTTTTTAGATTCTGCATATAAGTGATATCATAAGATATTTTTCTTTCTCTTTCTGGCTGACTTCACTATGTCAGTTTCTTTCTCCTTTACAGTCCACTTTTCAGTCATGTCTTCAGCCTCAACTGCTATTGTCCTTAACTGTCTTATGTACTGCAGCACTACCAGTTTGGATTCCACTGCCATTTGTTGCCACTGCTGTATGCTAGACCCATAGTGGTGCTTTGGCGGGCATGCATCATTTTGGTCTTTAGGGCAGCCCTAGGAGGTAGATGATGTACCCCATTTTAGAGATGTGAGGAAACTGGCCAAGGAGTATCCTGGCCAAAGTCATTGCTACTGGTAGGGACCTCTTAGGATCTTCTTATCTTACAGATGAGAAAACTTAAGATCTAGGGCATTTGTGGGACTTGCCTGAGGTCACAGATAGAATTGGGACTGGGATCTAGTTTGAAATGTGCCATTAGACAGCCCTGTATGGTTTCAAAGCTGTCAAATATGGGCTCTCCTCAACTCTACCGTGAGTCTGTGTGGGAGAGGAGAAGTGATGGTTTTGGAGTCAGACCCGTGTTCACATTTTGGTACTTCTTCACCTTTTGGTACTGGAGTTTCCTCAAATATAGAAGTGTTTGTATTTTTAGGTTGACATGCCAGTTGGAGCCGTAGAGTGTCAAGCGCCTTTGTAGTGCACATCATTTACAGGGATGGGCATTTTATGAATGGCACCTCCTGTTTCTGTGATTCTCAGATAAACTCTTCGAGGGCAGGATCCCTGCTTAAACCAGTCTTAGTAATTAGGACTAGAGTTGTTGCTGTGGGAAAGAAGCATCGGCACACGAATGATGGTTGAGGTCAGGGAGTTAGATCAGGACTCCCAGGGAGACCGCACTGAAGGAGAGAAGAGGGCCAGCTTGGGTGGGGATGGGCTGAGGTCGGAGGTCCTACAGAATGGGGGCGACTGGGCTGTGTCAGAGGAAGTAACGCCAGAGTCAGATTAGCCATTTGACAGCCTTTGAGGAGCACTGCCCAGCGCTGGAGCCAGCAGAGTATTGTTTTGAAAATTAAGCACAGTGCTTACCTCACCAAAAACTGGGTTGTAGAGGATATACTGGGGATGGGTGGTGGTGAAGGCAATTATAGTAGTGGGAAAGGTCAATCTTAGTCAATTGTTAGGATTTTACCGTTTTTCATTCCCACTATAATTTGTGCCTTTTTTTTTTAACAGACCTGTAAAGAAACCAAGGATGTTAGCGCTCTGACGAAAGCAGCTGATTTTGTAAAAGCCTTTATTCTTGGGTTTCAGGTGGAGGTGAGTGATCTCATCTGAAGTGGGGGCTTGAAAAATATGCCATGTGAATGTTTCAATGGACTGGGGCTTTTTTTTTTTCAGTTTGCATTTTCTGCTTCTGCAGTTTGTGAATGGTAGCTGAACACTCATTTGCAGGGGCCCGAGTGGCAGGGCTTCACAGTATTTATTTCTGTATTGTAGGATGCACTTGCCCTCATCAGGTTGGATGACCTCTTCCTAGAATCTTTTGAAATTACAGACGGTGAGTGTGTGCTGGTCTTTTGTGGAATACTAGACAGTGCTTTTGTATTGCCGACTGTATTGTGTGTGACTCTTAGCTTTCCAATAACCAATTGAGCTGTATTATTTGCAGCTTTTTAAAAAATGCGTATTTTCTGTCTTTTAGTAGAGAAATGTGGTTAATGATTAAGCTTTTTAAAAGAATTATTTTATTGAAGTATATATAGTTGATTTACAGTGTTAGTTTCAGGTGTACAGCAAAGTGATTCAGTTATACATATACATACTTTTTTTTCAGATTCTTTTCTATTTTATGTTATTACAAGAAATTGAATGTAGTTCCTGGTGCTATACAGTAACTTGTGGCTTAGCTATTTTATATATAGTAGTGTGTATCTGTTAATCCCAGGCTCCTAATTTATTCCTCCCCTGCCCTTTTCCCTTGGTAACTATTGTTTGTTTTCTGTGTCTGTGAGTCTATTCTTGGTTTGTAAATAAGACTTGTATCATTTCTTTTTTAGATTCCACATATAAGTGATATTATCTGATATTTATCTTTCTTTATCTGACTTACTTCACTTAGCATGATAATCTCTAGGTCCATCTATGTTGCTGCAAATGACATTGTTATTTTTATGGCTGAGTAGTATTCCATTGTATAAATACACCACAGCTTCTTTATCTAGTCCTCTGTCAATGGACATTTATGTTGCTTCCATGTCTTGGCTCTTTTAAATGGTATTGTAAAATATTGTAAAACTTTTTGTGGAAGTGGGTGGTGCTGGAATGGCTTCCATCTTGAGGTTTCATGTTTCTCATTTAGTGAAGCCCTTAAAGGGAGATCACCTGTCGAGGGCAATAGGAAGAATTGCTGGCAAAGGAGGAAAAACCAAGTTCACCATAGAGAATGTGACCCGGACGCGGATAGTCTTGGCTGATGTGTAAGTATGTGATCCTGAGAAAATTTTTGTCATATCTGTATGTGATCTTTTAGTGGTTTCAGAAAGTCCTAAGTGTTGTGTTTTATGTATCATGTTGCCATTAAATGCCAGTATGTGGTTCTGGATGAGTAAGTAGTTGCCTACTTTGAAAGCAGATTAAGTTAGTTGAAAAAATCTTAGAAGTTACCACTTTTTTCTCAGTTAGCAATGAAGGAGATGGTTAGAATCACTATTAAAAGAAATTACATGACAGGTGAAGATTTGAATAGTATCTTGGGAATCTATTAAATCAGTAGAGGAGAGCGAGGAGTGTGTTAAATGCCATTGTGAGGCTTCCCTTAACAAAGATTTATATATGTGTATATATGCAAGTGTGTATGTATATATAAACACACACACATATGTAAAGGCCTTTCACAAAAGAAAGGCAAGAATCGCACGTTGGGTGAAAACGGGAGGGCGGTTATATGTGAACATATATAAGATGATACGGGATTATAATAAGGGTGCAGGAAGTCAAGCTGGGATTACTCTTCTATGTCCGATGCTGACGCTGCCCCATTGCCAGGCCGGGTGACTGGCAGATGGCTCAGATTATATAATGCCGGGAAGTTGGGAAACCAAGCGGTGGGCTTGGGAGGAGGAGGGACCCGCCTGCTACTGAAGCCAGCAGTAATTTTACTCAAAAATCATCTCATCTTTGCTGTAAACGGAGGGGCTCACTATTATTTGGAATCTAAATTTTAGA